AGTCGGTGGGCTCGAATTACAATTTCTGATCCTGTTGATCAATTCCTGCATTCAGGTAATTCTGTCCGATTGTTTTCGAAGGAATGAATTCAAACTCTAGAAACAACAGTGACAACACCCACCTTGTGGAGTATAATTGTACAGAATAACGTATCAAAAGAGTGGCAATATCAAAAGAAGAAATGCCCGTTAATCACGGTTTGACACATATTTTTCAAGGATTCCAATTCCAAGTAAAAAATTCTCCTATTAAAACATTTCAACAAACGTCTCTCCCCAGCCACCGCACGACGCACACCAGTCCACACCAAAGGGCACTTTTCAACAAAAGCACAAAACCAAAATCAAACCCCTATCAGCACGACGCCGTTTATACTTCCCGGCGACGAAAATTCACATGGAATTCTCCGACGAGAGGTCATCCGATGGCAAAGTTTGGGGCCTATTCAAGCTTCCATTTCGGAACCAGCACTCGAATAGGACATCGTCTTCTTCTGGTTTTTCCCATTATAATCAGCAGCAACAGAGTTACAATAATCATGATAATATTGATGATAATTCTCAGACGGAAGGACCAAGGGCTCATGGTTCCAGCCCGGTTTCTTCTGTTGCCAGATCTCTGCTCCCGACTCGACGTCGTCTTAAGCTCGATCCCGCTAGCAAGCTCTATTTTCCTTGTAACAACTCTATCTTCTGCATCTATTTTTATGAAATTTGATCTCTAGTTGTTTTGCACATATAATTTTGTATTCGGTTCAATTTGTCTTTTAATTAATTTTTTGGCAAAACTGTTGATTTAGTTGAATTAAGCTGGATCTGTATATATGCTGTTGACAAGGATAGGTTCAATTTTTATGCTTTCCATATGAGCTATAGGCGTAAGGATAAGGAATTTGCCACTTCTATTTAAAAAATACACATAATAGATTAGATAATATGATGTGGAGGAAAAAGATTGGATGAAAAAATCGATTTTGTTTTAAATTGACAAATGGTAGAGTTCTATGTGGCATCATGTAATCAATTATGTAAATCTTTATGTACATATAGGAAGATCTGATAAGGATAAACAGGTTTGTTATTTCCATTTACTAATGGCTGGATATTTTGAAGAATTTTTGGTGAAAAGTGTTACAAAGAGAATTTTTTTACTTGGGATGATATTATGTAGATCTAAAATGTTATGAGGAGCTCAGCATAAACTAATTTTAATCAGTGTGAATGCCATAAAAACCATGTAAAGAGCCTTTTTATGAACCATTTAAGTGAAAACTGTCTAAAGTTCAAGTTTTCCAATTATAATTAAATGAAATTGTAAAGTGAAATTGATATGGTAACAAATGGATGCTCCCACCGACCAGAGGTTACAGATGCACCACTGAGGAAGATGACTTGTTGAGGAAATTAAAAACATTTACAGAAGCATGATGTGTCAATTTATCTGATTCAAATGATTCAATCGAGTTGGGTGTTTAAGTCTCCCTCCTCGCCCCACTGTTCTTCCAACTTTTGATATTATTTCTTTTGAACTCAGTGACGCAGTGTTTGATCCTTACTATTTGGGCTCCTGACATCGTTTATCTCATTAGGGGTCTATATTTTTTATCTTCGATCTATTGATCTTCCCATTATATTTCATGCAGTCTATTCTCAACTACGTTCCCTCCCCTCCCTGTGTTGATTTCTATGTTTTTTTTCAATATTTACGTCCTTTCAAGTGACATGTCCTTGCAAAATCCCTCTTTTTATGAGTGATAAATTTCTTGTTCTGTTTTATTGCTTGCAGATGAACCTGGTAAGCAAGTCCGAAGTGCTATTAAGATTAAAAATACAAGCAAATCTCATGTAGCTTTCAAGGTATGATCGATTAGTTGTGATGTACTTATTTATTTAACACCCCTCTTCATTTTTTTCTAATGCTGATGGACTATAGAAATTATGCCCAACCATGTTTTTCACATATTCTTGATTTAGTTTAGGTTCTGTAATATCCCATACTTCTATCTTCTGTCATCGCTTCTTATATCTGATTAGTCTAGTTTACTCATGTTTGTTCAGTTCCAAACAACAGCACCAAAATCCTGTTTTATGCGACCTCCTGGGGCAGTTCTTAGTCCTGGCGAGAGTATTATAGCAACTGGTAATATTTATATGTGGATTTTTGCAGTTTCCTTTTTTTTTTTTTCTCTCACAATAATGTAGGACACATAAGGATGTATTTGTGTATTTCTTACTCCGGGCCTGGTGTTGGATGAATCTACTAGTATTCAAGTTTGTAGAGCCTCCAGAGAACAATGAAAAGCCAACGGATCAGAAGAGCAAGGTGAAGTTTAAAATCATGAGCCTAAAGGTGAATGGACCTATGGACTACATAGCAGAACTGGTTTGTCGATTCCTTCCTTGATAGCTTTATTTTTGTGTACCTATCTTGAAAATAATTGTCTCGATGACCGTATACTTGTACTCTTTTAGGTTGTGTTTTAATTGCAATAATTGCGTTTATAGGTACTGCTTAATAATTAATTTAGAAATCCCACGTATTCTTGAAAAAATTTACTTATTGCACATATCACATTATCAAGGTTTTCGGAAATGTTTGTTATCAAGGTTTTGGGAAATGCTTTTTGTCTACGGAAGTCTCTTTGAACTGTCTACTGATAGTTCCTAATCATTTCACATTGTCTTGTTACAGTTTGATGAGCAGAAGGAGCAAGTGGCTGTGGAGCAGATACTTCGGGTAGTATTTCTAGATGTGGAACACCCTAGCCCTGTAAGTAAAGATTTTTGCCAGTGCTTCCCATCATGTATGGTGCATTGCATTAAACTGCTTCGGAGCATCATCTTTTGCATGCATTTGTAATGGATTATTGAGAATGTTGATTTTTGAGATTCTTTACCTGCTGAATCTGTGAAGGCTATAGAAAAACTCAAGCGGCAGTTGGCTGAGGCTGAAGCTGAACTGGAGGCTCGCAAGAAGCCTGCAGAGGACACAGGTCCAACGTTTATTGGTGAAGGACTTGTCATTGATGAATGGGTACAGTATCTTTTGATCTTAGAAACTTCTTAAAAGATTTTCATTCCCTTTTCTGCTTGATATTTATTCGTGTGCTCTCTGTGCAAATTCTGTTTTGTAGAAAGAAAGAAGAGAAAGATATCTAGCCCGTCAACAAGTAGAAGGGGCAGACTCTATATGACCGGAGGTTTGTTGTTCTCCATGGTCTTTTACTTCAGTCTTCAGCTGGAAATTTCTGCCATGCGCTTTAGATGGGTGTATTTATATATCAAAAAACATTCTGTTACAAGTGTTGGTAGGAGATACTCGACTGTCAATGGGTGTAGATATTATGATTTTGCTTCTTTAAGTGTGAAAAGATATATCTGTTTCAGGTTTCTTTGAATTATGGCTTGCATTTTCTTCATCTCTTTTTATATTATATTTGTCATGGTCAGATTATAGGAAAGCTTTAGAGACATTCTACCCAGCAAAATAAATACACTCGTGCTAGAATCCTATTTTCCCAAGATCCATCTTCGAGAAACCAGAAGACCCATCTGAGCAATGCTTCCCTCCAACAAAATTGTAAACTTTAGTTATCCCATCTCCTAGAGCCAAGTTATCTCCGTCAATAAACATAAACGGAATCTATAGATTCCACACCAAACCAACCCTTTTGTAGTCTAGATATTAATGAAACTGGCTGAAACGATTAAACAAAAGTTGCTCTAAATTTTCCCATGTTTTGCTTTAGCGTGTGCATACAAACATGTATTTCCGTATAGATTCTAATGACGCCAAAACAATTGCATTGAAAGAATTTTGTACGTCAAAAGGATCAAATTTGTGGGTCAAAAACATTGTTACTTTTAAAGAATTCAAATAAGGAAATTCATACCCTGTATGTATTATAGATCCAGGATGAGGAGGCTAAATCTGCCTTTATTCTCTCATCCAACCAATATTCATCCACATATAACCGATGTTTTATTCATAGTTTCTCTTCTGCCGATCCTCCCTTTTCCATTTCAATTGATTCATTTGTACAATCCACTTCAGTCGTGAACCTGGACGAAAACCAGTGTGTTCTTTCCATACAATAACCATTTCTTCAATAAGATGATTCTTTGTTTCCAGCAAGAAGAAGAAGAAGGTGAATATGGCCGTGCTCCATTGGACTTGATGTCTTTTAATGGTAAAAATTATTTCTTCCAGCCCATTTTATTAGTAAGTGGGCCAATAAGGACCGAATTGCATATTCCAGAGTCAAGGGGAATAATTACAGGAACTATATAGTAATGGGACTTAGTTGCAAGAAAACAAACACCTCAGGGATTAAATTGTAGCTAGCAGATTTTCAACAGTCAGAAAGTTTAGAGACTTATTAGTTGAATAATTCAGGATAGTCGAGGACCAATTTGTCTCAATCAAAATGTTCAGGGACTGATTTGCACCAAACAGAAATTTAGGAACTGATTTTAAAAACAACAATATTTAGGGAACCATTGAAAAAAAACATATATTTCCGGGATCGCTTTAGAGAAACTTTAAAATTCAAAGACTGGTTTTGATATATGAATAAGATATGTTTGGCAATTTGGATGAGGTTTTCATTAAGCAGAGCCTTATTAATCATTTAAAGAGCCACCGGATTAAACTGGGACCCATCTTTAATATGCAATGGCGTGGACCTCGTGACCACTTCAGGTGATACATCATCACCACTAAGTCAATAATGTGGAACCATCCGGAGAAATATGGACTTTGACAATGGCATGGCTAAGGTTGAAGCTAATCCATTACCCGCGTCAATCAAGCACTGAGGCAGCACGTACAACAATTGTTACTTTTGAGTTCTTCCATCCGCGACATGAGATCAATTCAGAAGCGCCACCTTTTAACTTGAGATTTGATCACAATAGTATAGAAGATCCAGTGAGTTGAGATAGCAACTTTGAATAATGGTCCTCCAGAAGCGATTTTGAACTTATTGATGAATCAAACAATCAGTTTGATAAGTCAAGTCATGAAGGTCAACTTTGGTGATAGCAGTCTTCCGAATCTATATATATGTTTATATATATTCATTTTTAAACGACAAAGCTGGTTTAATAATGTGACATTAACTCTAAAACATTATAGATAAGAGGAAAATAAAACCCTTGTTCGGTGTACCATGCTAAATATGTTTAATGTTGAGAATTATAAGCCATAATTCTATTCCACCAAAAGAAATAAATTAGAAGAAATAAAAATAAACATCGAAGCACACACAAGATTATAAAAGTTCACCTCAATTTGAGACTACTTTCTCATTATGATGAAAAAAAAAGGTTCATAAGAGAGAATCACATTCCTATCAACCCTTCTTTCTCCTTTTTTTTTATGATAATTAAATTACAAAACTTATAGACAACTCTCTATTTATGAAATAAATTAGGGCAAATCAAATTTTACAATTACTCAATTCCTTAATAGAATTTTTTAAGAATACAATTTCTTAAACAGTCGTTAATGAAATTTTGGCCCGGGTGCCTCCATCCCCTTCCAATCCACACATTGATCTCGTTGCAAAGGTTGATTTGTGATTAACTCCATGAAGTGCCAATAATTGGGTTCCACAACTTAACAATTAGAGCATATAATTTGTGTATTTGTATTCTCGAAAGATCCAATTTAATGAGTAAGTCGTATCTGTTATCAAATTTTAAAATTATAAATCCTTCCAAAACATACCTTTCTAGCTTTATCTAGAAGAAACCTTTAAAGCAAACAAATTTGAAAGAATCCCATCAATGGTCATGGACAAGAACTGATTCTGGAGAATATGGTATTGATTGAGAAAATTAATCACCACTTTAAGCTAGTGAAAAAGAGAAGAACAAGTGACATGTACCTACCACTTATCCAATTTTATCCAAAAATATTATAGGGAAAATTGTAGCAGCGGTTCCTAATCTTTTCATTTTTTGCAAACTTCTTAAAATACCGTTAGTTGACTAGGAAAATTCCTTGAATTATCTGTTATCGCGACGATTTTATTGGATGTTGATACCTTTTTGGACGGTGTTTTTAAACAATTTTATTGGATGTTAATTCCTTAATTTTTTCAGTCAACTGACAATGTTTTGGACGGTTTTCGTCTAGATGAATCTCATGTGCATATTTATGAAAGGTTAGGAACCTTCGCCGACACAAAATGAAGATTAGGGTAAAATTTGCAAAAAATAAAAAGGTTAGGGACCGCTGTTGCGCTTTTCCCAATATTATATTACAAGGGGACAAATGTTTATATACTCATTTGAATCTCAATCAAATCCAATTGTTCGAGTTTAGTGGGTCTAATACTATATTAAGGCTCGGGTTCCATTTTAAAATATCAACCTCATTAAAAGATGTAGCTTAAACACTTATATCTTGGTATATATTTTAATAATTAATCAATTTGAAAGTTATCCCTTAACAAATATAACAAATTTCAAATCAAATTAAAAAAAAAAATAAAAATAAAAATAAAAAGGTGCGGCGAGTCATGTGATAATCTTATTGCATGTTTCACAAACCGTGAACGAAATGACTGGTTTGGTATCCAATGTTAATAGAGGCTGAAAAAGGTAATCCAAAAATTGATGCTTCATTTGCAAGAATGTGACCAAATTGATTTTCTTCTCTCTTGAAAGTCACAGAAAGTGATGAACAATGTTCTGTCACCTACTTATTTATTTAGTTTCATTATTTTCAGACAGGAAAAAAAGGTTGATTCACAAATGAAAACATGTGAATTCGATTCCCACTTATAATAAAAGGGGTTGAGTACCGGATCTCTTTATTTGGCATTCTACTTTTTTCTTCTACCTTATCCATTTACTTTTACTTTTTACCGACTAAATTAAGCCCTTTTATCCAAGGATCAAGCTACACCAACATAATGCATGACATACGGTTTGACAGAAGCACACACAGCTACAGGGGTCGGCATTTTTTATTCATAGCGGGACCCACAGCAATTGTGAGAGGAGGTCAGTACTTCTGTCAAGCATTTTCTGTCACTCCGGTTTTATCCTTTATCCAATGCATTGAGGGCAAGTTTGATAAGAAGTGCAGACATTTGTTGATATGTCCTCCACAAATGTTGGAGTGCAACGTAACTTCTTTGATATTTCGAGTTTTAATCAATGGATAAGTTTTTCGATAGAAAGAAGGTTGAAGAGGAACGGAGTTGGGTCTCGGCCCAGCAATCATAATTTTCTCTCCAATGCCATAAACGGTAGTCATAGATTTGTTGCTTTGTTCATTACTACTTCAGGCTTTTTTTAGATTTCTCTATATTTATCTAATTTAATCGGTTAAAACAATAATAGATATGATCACATCGTGATCATGTCTTCAAATTAAATAAAACGAAATCGATCTCGAATTCTCGTTGGTTACAAATAGTATTATATTATGAAAATAATTTGTACTTATATTTAATATCTCATCACTTGTCCAATTGTTATATGTAAAGGTATTGGATTCAAATTTTAAATGACACGAAAAAAAGTTTTGAGGGGCAACTCAAATGAAATATACAAATTGAAAATGTCGCCAGGGAGTTGCTCGAGCAAAATTCAACAAGTGACTAATAAGCAAAACATTTGAAAATTCTTTAGGGTTTATTTCATCTTTTGTAATTTTATCACACTAGAAACAAGCTAGTACTTTATCCCTACCATGGTCTCCAAAGTTTTCAACGCATCAACTATGTTCTCTCTTCCATTTCTAAAGCTTTCTTTTGTCTTCATCTTTCCATAAAATTCATTCAAGAATGGTAAATTACATCTCGAGTCCTCGATATTTGAGGTCATTCACAATCGGACTCCCATGGTTTATTTTATTTTAAATAAGTGGATTGTCAAAGATTATCTTTTAGTAGCAAGTCGTTTTGGACAGTGTAAATTCATAATAATATTTACTTTTCGCATACTTGAACGTGAGAACAAAATTATTGTCACATTTTTCTCCGTTGCAAATGGTTTCAATTCAAAATTACCCCCTAAATTCGAAAACCAAAGGCTAAGGATTCAAGTCGAAGAAAATGTCGAACTAAGTGCCGACGATCCCAAACATTACCGTGGTTACAATTCAGACTTACACAAATTATTTTATTGCAATGAAGTGTTGATTAGTTAATCAAAACATCATAAAACAGAATAGTGATGCTGCAAACCAAAATACAAAGTAAGAAATACAAAAGATGAGGAGGCTAAGCACCCCTTTAACCACTCTTAATTCATTCAGCAGCAAATATCGGAGTTTCTACTCATACTTTCTTGCAAGCATCTCCTCTCTTCTTCTCCATTTCGAGTGATCCATTAGTACTATCGACTTCAGTCATGAACCTAGACCAGAACCAATGCTCTTTCC